CGCTGCATAATACTCTCCCGTAACTGTTCTTCCCTTCTGCAGGTAATCGATGAAGATTATGCCATGCGCATCCCAAAAAACGGAGGCCATACCTTCCCGGCCGAGCGTTGGTCTTTTGGCCGCTTTGGTCGGCTTTCGTGGCTTTCCAGCCACTCTGCAGACATCCTATTGGACTCAGGCGTATGGTAATGGACCCACGTTTCATCCATCGTCACAAAACGTCGAAAAAAGTCCGCTCGATTACGCTGCAACAACGCCAAACCGGCCGTTGAATCATCAACGCGCTGCTGTTTTTGGTCGACGGTCAGCAAACGCGGCACCAATCGCGCCGATAGCTATCTCATCTCCAAAAGATCGTGCAAAATGTATCCCGCCCGTTCTTTTGAGATGCCCACGGCCTCAGCTAACTCGCGCAACTTCACTTTACGATCACTTAAAACGATTCGATGCACTTGCTTTACGATTTCCGCATTCGTAGCCTCTTTTGGCCTTCCAGAGCGAGGTGCGTCTTCGGTGCTTGTACGACCCATTTTAAATTCACTAAATCACCGATAAACTGTTGTTCTCGAAGGAGCAGATGTGGGATAACATTTCTGCAACCATTGTAATGATTGTTCAGAAGTTTTTCCCATCAAAAAACAATATTTGATCAAGATGCGATATTCCTGTTTTTCCATTTTTTTTACGAAGGCGAAAGGTAGCGTCACTCAAACGACTGTAGCTTGTAAACGAATGGACGAAATGTCATGAAATTTTATACATAAACTAGTGACAGATGAGCCTCTCGAAATGAGTCATGTTCATTTTCTAGTGGCGCCACTTATTGAAAAATCCCGGGACTTTTCAGCCCATGTAGTAAGTCTGTGAACTGCTGGCGCCCTGGGATCTTGTAGAGTGGAGCGACAAGCTTTAATAAATACTGACAACCCCCTTTGTTAACGGTATTTAAAGGCATATTATCCTTTGTGATAAATAACAAAGCGTTTGTGATATCTGCAGCTTTAGAACGACCATCTGCAAATATGAAAAAAAGTTAATCATTGTATTATAAATTATAGTATATATAAACGTATCCTTAATTATTATAAATATTCTTCATACAATAAAAGAGAATGTAATATATAGATGAATAGAAAACAATACTTGAAATTTCTTGTAAATATTATATGTAAATTTGAAAATTTCGCTACAAATATTTTCAATTCTTTTAAAAGTCGACGTTTGATTATAATTTTAAACATTTCTGTGTTTGTATTTGTAATGTTGTAACGCTTTTTAAATGTGATATAATTATATGGATTTAGAGTATTTAGAGCAAGCATATTTTACGACATAATAAATGCTTATTACGTGAACACTTTACCTTCAAACGATTTTATTTTAGATATGGCATTGTCAATGCATGGTTGCGAATTATGATGATCAGTACTTTTGAATTTTGCCCCTTGCATTGGATTTGATGTAGAGAGTGATGATTTTTTGAATACCGCTTCTTTATCCTATAAAGACAATATTTTACAATGACTATATATATATATATATATATATATATTATACTTCCATAAACAAACTATTTGCCACCTGACTCATTTGCGACGAATGAGTGATTCCTGTACTCGTACTTGGAACTGCAATCTGCAAAAAGTATTAAGAAGGATATAAAGATAATTGTGGGTTACATTTTTATATTTGTTTACATTTCACTAATTTGTTTAAATGTACAGTCATTAAGCATTGTTATACCCTTCTAAATAATAAACTATAATTATGATATTATTTAAAATTTGTAAATATCTTATTACTCGATAAAGTATGTTATCCACATTAAAGTTTTTTAACCATAATTTCACATCATCAAGCGTAATAATTATGGCGTACCTATTCGTTTTTCCTTAAAAATAATGGCTCATAATATCAATTTTTATATTTGATATTAATATTTTATTTTCGAACAAATACGTGTAAATTCATTTTTTTTTACGAAAAACGTTTTAATGAAGATGCCACATTTAATTCTCATATTTTCTGATGAAATTGGGTGTTTTCCATTTGATGACACAAGTCGACACAAGTGTCGTTCTACCTTTGTCACTATCTGAATGTCAAAAAGGATAGAACGACGCTTGTGTCGATTTGTGTCATCAAATGGAAAAAACACCCATTATATTTCAAGAAATTAATTGTAGAAGGTATAATGTTATTTATCGAGTAATAAATTTATAAATTTCGAAAATGATTGTATAAATATATTAAAATAATTGTTATGACCAAAAAATGAAACCTATATAAAGGTGCATCAAAAACAAATATCTGTATATGTTTATGTACTTACACTCAGTGATGCATCAGGATCATCGATCAATTCGGAATCTTTAGTATCTTCAGATTTTTCTAGCACAGATTTATGATGTCGTTTCAAATGATTGCTGAGATTAGTAGTATTGCCCTTACAATTAACTTGTCTTTGACATATCTTGCAAAGACCGCCAGAGGAATTTTTAATAAAGAATTGCCAATTACTACTTGTTTTAAATTTTCCCATTTTTATCCGGTAACAATAATATTAAGACAAACAGTAGAATAATTTGTCAAAACTAAGTGAATGTTAGGTCTTAGGAAAACTATCTGTTTTCAGTCTCACTTTTGAAACAAGACTTCACAATCTTAAGGTGTTATTACATGAAAGCGTCAAGCATCGCGCATCGTGAGCTTACTATTCGCTACAAGCAGGTCACGTGATCAAAACTAACGAATAGCAAGTTCACGATAGTTGACGCTCGATGTTTGATGCTGCTGCAAGGAAAGAGTCAGTGACTGCGTTCAGCAGAAAAAGCAGCTTTGCAACTGTTATAAAATTGTTGAATATGATTGGTTTATACATTTAGATCCAATGAGGAACTAAGGGCAAAACCAATCACGGCAAAGAATTTTACAACAGTTGCAAAGATGCTTTCTCTGCTGAACGCAACCAATGTCAACTTTACGACGTGAAACAGGTCGGTATTTTAGAACTCTCTTTCTTGTTTTCACCAAATATCAAACCATCGATCTCGGGTTTTAAGAATCGATTCGTCGATTTAATCAGAGCTTAAGAATCGATTCAAAAAATCGAGAATCGGAAGTAAAAGAATCGATTTTCTGACAAATCGATCTTGGGTCGAACATCCCTAGTAATTTTTTGTTACATTTTTTGAAGTTTGTTTTACATATTACATAATTTTTCCTAGATATGTTCGTATTTGCTAGTTAAACTTGAATTTCAATTGGACTATTTACACTTTTTACTTTGAACGACATGATTATTCTCACAACGTCAAGATTTGTTATTTTTAATTTATTCTTTTCTCTTGGAGGTTTTACATAAATGCAACCGTTATTTAATACTTTGTATTATTTACTCTTCTTTTATCATTGACTAGATTGTTCTGCAATTATTAAGAAATGTTACAATTTATTATTTTTGATTATATTATGCTAGCGACATTATGATATGTTATATTTATTTTTATTATGTATTTTGAAAGATTTTACTAATGTGACTGCATTTCTAAGATAAATTTGTTTTTGCATTGAAAATGACCCGATCGGAGTCGAAACGTTTGTAATGTTATTATTTTAATTAAAATTGTTCTTTGTAATATTGGTTCTATGTCCTGTTAATATTTATATTGTTTTATACATATTGAGCCTTATTATTATTTTATTATATATATTTGTCTTGTTTGTATTCCATTTACATTGTGTACAATTTTTATTTTTCTTGATAAGTAATTTGGACAGAGCCTATTTATCATTTCATAAATTAATAAACATGTATTAAGTTCAATTCTCTGTCTAACAGACATGAAATGTAGTGCCTCAATCATATTCTCGATTTTTACGCTGCGATTGCATACTATTATTATTCTCATACCTCGATTTTGGAGTTTCTGCAAATGCTCTAAATTAGTTTTATTCAATGCTATCATTATTGAGGAGCAATAGTCAAACAGTGGAGCAATGAATAATTTATATATAGTACGTCTTATTATCGAAGACAAGTCATTACTTGCCCTTCTCAATATTCCTAATCTTATTCCTATTTTCTTACTTATACACTCTACATGTGCCGAAAAACTCAAGTTTTTGACAATGCCAATTCCTAAATATTATATTTCACTAACTACCTTTAATATTTCATTTTAAACTTCTATTTTAATGTTGCTTTCTTCCACGTTTTTCCTAATTCCTCTAATCACCATAACCTTAGTCTTACTCACATTTAATTGTGGTCTATTTATTTGTAACCATTCCTCATGTGTGTGAAGTTAGCCCCCCTTTTTTTGAAAATTAAAATTTTGACAATTGTTCCAGATTGTTCTGAGTTTGTTCTACATTGTTCCAAAGCGATATCATCTTATTCCAAATCGTTCTCCAATAAAAGGAAAAAATGATTTTTTTTGCTAGCCCCTCTTTTTTAAAATATCAAACAATTTCTTCTTGCTACAGATTGTACTAGTTGTTCCAAAAGGACAATTCCATATGACGAACAGAAATGACAGAGAGAAAACAAAAAAATATTTTCTAATCCGTCACCCTTTTCTTAATATTCGAAAAATTCATTATCGCCATAGATTATTCTAGTTGTTCCAAACATTGTTCCAAAAGGACAATTCCGTAAGTAGAACGGAAATCGAGAAAAAAAAAGGTTTTTCAACAAACGAACGCTCCGACCAAAAGAAAAGGTACACTCTCCTAATTCCAACGCAGAATTTCATCTTTTCAGTTGTTCCAGTCATACGAAAGATAATTCTGCATTATGAATCATCCAACGCTATTGGTTCTCCCAAAAGTTGAAAAAAATCCATATTTTTGAATCCACCATCAAGAGTAAACGTGCACTTCCTTTCTTGTTCCAGTCGAGAACTTTTTGTTCTGAGTTGTTCTATTCCTGCGAAACATAGTTCTGCATTATGAATCATCCATCGCTACTGGTTCTCTCAAAAATCGAAAAAAATCCATATTTTTGCATTCACCATCAAGAATAAACATGCATTTCCTCTCTTGTTCCAGTCGAGAACTTTTTGTTCTGAGTTGTTCTAGTCCTGCGAAATATAGTTCCGCATTATGAATCATCCATTGCTACTGGTTCTCTCAAAAATCGAAAAAAATCCATATTTTTAAATCCACTATCAAGAGTAAACATGCATTTCCTCTCTTGTTCCAGTCGAGAACTTTTTGTTCTGAGTTGTTCTAGTCCTGCGAAATATAGTTCCGCATTATAAATCATCCATTGCTACTGGTTCTCTCAAAAATCGAAAAAAATCCATATTTTTGAATCCATTATCAAGAGTAAACATGCACTTCCTCTCTTGTTCCAGTCGAGAACTTTTTGTTTTGAGTTGTTCTAGTCCTGCGAAACATAGTTCTGCATTATGAATCATCCATCGCTACTGGTTCTCTCAAAAATCGAAAAAAATCCATATTTTTGCATCCACCATCAAGAGTAAACGTGCACTTCCTCTCTTGTTCCAATCGAGAACTTTATTTTGATAAAATTTTGAGCCTTAGTAGTAACAAGGATACATGTACAATGCCAAGGACATAAAAGTCGTAATAGTAGATAGTGATTGATCATTCTTCAAGAGGAATCAAATGACAAATAGTACAGGACTCTTAAGTACAGGACTTAGGTTTTTTAAAGACAATACAAAGATGTATAGGCCATATAAGAGTCGACGTAATTAAGTATAAATGTAAGAACTGTAATATGATATATTAAATGTATAAGAAAACTCTATAATAACCCATTGTAAAACACATTACATTACATTACATGTTTCAGTTCTTGGATTGAGCCATCCCCTCAGATAATACAAAATTCACACCCTTAAAATTCATTTCCATCGTCATAGAAAAATCATGATGAAAGTTTTCCAATTTATATAGCGATATTGATGAATGCCTCACGGAGATCATTAATTATTTGCAAGCGATTTACTGACCGATTGTTCGGAATTTCATGATATTCTAATTAAAGAAATATATTTGTTAACCAATAAATACAAATAACAAAATAAAGATCAAAATAAAATAAAAATCTGTTACAATATTATCTACTTTTAAATTCTGTAAAAACCAAGCAACGTTATCTCAATAAATCACTCACCAACATGATCGTAGTTATCATTTCTTAAGTTTGTCAAATTCATCATAAAATCGTGTAAAATATAAAAAGTAGTATACTAGTTATATAGTATTATAATACTTAATACGCAGTCACTACATTAATACTTGATAATTTGTACAGATTGAATCTTCCAGAAAGAATTTTTTGAAAGATATATTAACGATAAAGTTGACTGTCATTATCTGAGAGGAAATTAATAGATTAATAGACAAAACGCGACTAGAAAAGAACAATGTCAAATTTTGTTTATAATCGATATACGCTTTGTGAAGGCCCTCCGTGTCTGTTTAGAGATTTAGACTGTTTTTTTGCTTTTTAATATTTAACATTTCAGAAATTAAGCGTTTATTATAACATGGCTCTTCATCTAGTATCTGAATGTTATTCCAGTCAAAATTATGTGTCGTCTACAGTCTATGTTCGGCGATTACAGAACGGATAAATGTATTCTAACGAATATGATTACGGTGTTCTGTAATTCTGGTTTTAAGTTGTCTACCCATTGTCCGACGTATGATGCATCACAATCTTTGTATATGATCTCGTATACCACATTGTTCTTTGATCAATTTGAACGAGAATTCTTTTGTACCTTAATGAATTTACTAAATTTATTAGAGCTATATATGTATAATAAGAAACTTTAATATCCTCTCTCTCTCTATTATATTTTTTGAATTTCTCTGTTATCGATGGAACAAAGGGCACAGTAAACCATGATATAACATCCCTTGTTTCATCATTACTGTTCGTGCAATCACGTACTACTGCTCCTCCACGCTGAATACTTCTGAATCTAACATTGATTGTGTCAAAAATGAATTTGAGGGGATAATCGTTCTCTATTAGTATATTAACAATCAATATAAGATTCCTTTGATCAAATTCAGAGCCAGATAATAATAAAGCCCTGTCTACCAAATAAAAAATTATACCTTTCTTTTGGGAGATAGAATAATTTAAAAAATAATTTAAAAACCTCGAAAAAGTCGATTTTTGATACCAATCAAAGGTTAAATATTTTTGTATAACAAATCAAACTAACCAAGACTCCTTATAAATCAAAGAATTGGAAAGAATACGGGCTTTAGAAGTCAGGCGCAGAAGACGTCGCGCAAATAATACACTTATGAAGCTTGAAACTTCTTTATTTAACAAACACGCTTATATATTTCGGCTCATTTTTGAGCCTTCCTCAGAGCAAACACAAACTAACATATATGAAGTAAAAGTTATCCTGTCATGGTGAGCTCCCCTACATCGAGAATTTAAATGCCAGAATTAAACATTTTTATCTAACCATGATCGTAACATCAAGGAAAAGTGAGTCAGAGCCTACTTCTAACGTGAATTGTAGAATAGACGTGGGCGAA